TGTTTGTAAATTTTTCATGTACAACCAGTTGGGCCTTTTGCTTACTCATCAATATAGTATTTCCGAAGATACATTTCGTACATTCATCATGAGGATTTATTTTCTTTAACGTTTACTTTCAGAGATGCCCACATTCTTTGTCTATTATACGTAACAAAGCAGAAGAACGAACAGAATATAGAATATAAAGAAAAACTTTCAACATATGTAATTTCCATATAGTATTGTTACTACCAAAATATAACAAAATTGTAACATTTGATAATAAATTTTAATATTAAATATTTAAGTGCAAGTTATTTATTGTAAGACGTATTAATGCAACATAGATATTGTACTAATGTATTTTGAATTGTGTTCAGAGACGTCGATATACGACGAAAACTATTTGTCATTGTCTTCGATCCTCACTGATAAATGGTCAGTCACTTAATTATGCTTCAAAAGCAATCTCCTGGTAAAAATTGTTTAACGGTAAGTTAGCTGATGGATATAATTGATGAGAACTCATCTTATAAATACGATATATACATTTTAAACAGTTAAAATGTAAAATCACACAATTATAGCGTTTTTTTATTTATATAAAGCATTACTTCAACATTTTTTTTCTATATGAACTACAGTCAGTGAGGATATTTTTTTTGATCGTTACTTGTAAAGACGAATCATTTTTCATACTTCTTTATTGAAGACTCTCCCTCAGATAATATAATATATGAACCTTTAGCTTTTCTGTTATAATATAATCACAGGTTTATAAAAGGAATTAACAAATGATTGAGAAGATTTGTTGATGAGCCAGGTAAAAATAACTTGATATTATATGCGGTTTTGCTCATTATAACTGGTTTACGTATATATTTAGTATACAAAGACACATATGTATGTACATTTGTGTCTTTGTTGGTCATTATTTACAAAGGAATACATACTTTATTATGACAATGTTAATTTAAGCATTATGAATATAATTTTAAATACATTATATAGACGGATTGAGTTTCTTAATATTTCTCTTTTATCCGTTACCCTTTGCCTTTGATCAATACAATCCTTAATAAGTATGAGAGTTTTTCGTAAAAGAGGTATATTTGTCAACGATTTATCAATAAACATCACATCCACTAGAGATCTATATTATTTGTCATATATCATATTTCGAAGAATTGGGACTTATAGTAACTTGCGTAGTTCACAGAATTATTATAGTTTCTTTCAAATCAATATTAAAATGGCACTTATAATAATAGCAAATAATATACTCCAGTTAAAATTTAAATTTAATATATTTAAATAAATATCCTGCACCCGATAATAATGTCTGTAAACAGATATGTAGGAAAGAAAGCTGGAATTAGATGAATCGGAATTAGAAAACTGTTAAAAAGATACACATAAAACAAAGATCAAGAAGACTTTAATGCTGTTTTATTATGTGAGTTAGTTGTTTTAAATACATCAGTTCAGTACCAGTACGAGGTGGGGTCGTATCTATGGCGACTATCAATATTTACCGCAAGTAATGACACCGCCTAAATTCATTATTCTTCGATTAAAATGGAGCGGCACTGCAGATTTTGCACTGCACTTTGAATATATTATCCATATATTGTATGTCATAAGTTAAATCAAAATGATAAGAATATAACGACTTAGCGCAAGTTTAATGACTGAATAGAATGAAGTGTTTCTTTTAAAATTATTGTTTAATTTCGCTTTAATATATTTAAACTGTTCAAAGTGTTAATATGAGAGTGACAATATAATCTAGTGAAATAATGTAATTGTTATTTGGCGTATGATATTTTTTTGGTAAAAGTGACAGTGTATTCTTAAATTTGCCAAAATATTCATTCCTAACACATAGACAGTACATATTAAAAACAATTTTTTATGTGATCAAATAAAAATTTAGAGTAACTGTAGTTTTGTGGGTGGCGTTTATTGCAATCTAAACATTACAATTTATTTTTATTGATTTAAAAACAATATAATAGTCATGAAGTCAGTCATTATATATTCAAGGAAATTAAACGTAGGAACTTTTTTAATTTTCTCAAATTCACTTGTACTTCTCCGTTCAGGTAACTTGTGGTATTAAAGAACAAATTGTGATTTTTGTTAGCGTGACTTGTTACGTTTGTTAAATTGTTAGGATATTCTTATATTAATGTTAAAAATATGTCTTAAATTTAAAATTTTCCGAGTCTCTCGTTAATCACATGTACCGGTTATAGGATTATAGGCGTTGGATAAAAATATTTTTATGGTTATCGATCAGATATTTTCTAACCGCAATATCTATTTTCGGTTCAAAGAGTAAAGATCAGGAAATTACGTGAGTGATGGATGACTTTTCACTTTTATATTTTTATTAACATTTTTGTACTTTGCAACGGTGTCGCAAGAATTTCGGCAAAAATTTTATGTCATAAATTTTTTTTATTATATACTTAATAATTTATTACTACTTAAGTGAAAGTTGATCCATAGAAAATATAGAAAAGAAAAAATAATTGATACATCTAAAATTTAAATAAAAATATATTTGTACGGAACTTCATAATATTAAACTTTTCAAAAAAGACGAGAAAAAAAATTTAAATATAAATATAAATGCGGAACTAAGAATTACCACATATAATCCAGTCCCATAAATCGTTCACACACTTCACATCACGACAAGTTGTATCACGCGGGTTCGCTTTCCGTAGCGGACGTGTTGCCGCGGGAGCGATGTAGGCGCGTCTGTCCTCCGCGCCGACTGCATTGCGATGTTACCCAAGATTCCGTGCCGTTTGGAACTGACTGGAATCGTTTCAAACGGTGAACCTTCCAACCGCTGGCGATAACGAGGAAACTGCCCTGACTTTTCGGGGACGAAATTTAATCTCGACAGGAGCACGTAGGAGTTTGCCGGTGCAATTTATAATCTGCTCGGAGCCTTCAAATTGGTATTGTTTTGACATTGCATATCTTAGATAAGTATTTTAGTTATACTAGAAAATTTTGCCATTAATTTATTATTATATTTTTATTACATGATATCCTAATGTATATTTTATTTTCAAAGGGCAATAATCTTTCAATCATTTTCTCAGAAAACTTTGTGGGCTCGATCTAATAAAAGTTACCCAAGTTTTAAGGTCGCTCGGTGAACGACTTTTGAATCAACAGAAGATGAAAAAACAAATTATATTATAAACTATATTAACGTTTCTTTTTTTTATGATTGGCTCAGGATAAAAAATAAGGTTTTATAAGGATCTTACAGCATTTTAAGGAACACTTGGCGCAAATAATTAAATATGTTCTGATACTATATGGTAAAAATTCCCACTCAGACTTTTGATTTTTTAGAACCGCCTTCATCTGGATTGTCACTGCCCCCATTTAAGAAGATTTAAAATAAATATATATACTTTTGATATATAGGTTATAGTTTTGGTCCGAACCATTCTGTTGCAGGTCCTAGTAGTTTATTTAGACCCAATAATTTGGTTCAACATCGCTCTTTGGCAAGCTCCGAGACAAGTGTAGTTCTTTTCGATCATACACCAAGTCAGTTGAATAAATTAGAAGAAAGTATACACATAACTTTTATTTTGAACAGAAATTTGCTTTTATATGTTGTATATTTTACTTGTAACTAATTTATTTCACTTTAGAGGCCTTTTGAGAGCTTTTATTTTTATAGTTTTTATTGCCTGAAAGATAACTGGTAATCCCCGATAACTATAGTAATTTATGTAACGTAAAGAAAAACTTGGTGTTTATAAAAAAAGTAAAGCGGCAGTGCCTTATCTGTATTTCTGTCGCCAAGCACTGTCTCTATTGTTGTTTTGCTATTTGTAGGTCAAACTCGCTGTGCTGCCACTGTTTTACATGGGATTGAAAAATTATCCTTATTTTAGATATAATCTAAATAATAATAATAAATATTAAATATATGTACTATTATGTACAAAAAAATATCATAACGAATAGATACGGGAACATTTGATACTTATTCTCAATACAAAAATAGAATACGGGAGATATCTAAAAAATACTTATCATCGTTTTAATGTTATGTATTATCGTACAGAAATAGTATTGTAATTACTTACAATTTGTCTAGTAAAAGATGGTCAGATAAATAGATTCATATCAGTGGAGCTCTTGGCAATAAACTACTCACGAATAAGGTAATATAGATAAATAATTTGAAATCATCGTAATACATAATAGAACTTAAATACCTCATGGAGCGAATCGAAAATACATAAATTAAGTACATAATGAAAGTGATCATAGCCACACCAGATTTTCAATTTTCCGCCGAGTGGGAAGATTGGAGATAAGCATAATAAAGTTTCTGACTCGTTTCGCTTAATGGAAGTGATTTGAGTGGTCATAACACGGATTTTTTATTGCTGTCATTCCCTTCGCCTTCCTTTTGTGGTAATTTAATCGTTTTTCCGATCCCGTTCAGTATTTATGTACGGTATTTGTCGAAATTAGCTCCCTTTAAACGTAGTAACACCTTCACAGAATAATTCGATAATGTTATAGGCTTCCCAACCACGTCTTTTCTTTTGTAATAACGAATACACTTACCCTAAAATTCTTAAAATACGAGGCCAAAAGTTCATTCAATTAAGACATTACTTGTCCGTATTTATGCAAAATGGAACCACGCAGCAAACACACACTTTTGAGATATCAAAGGTTTTACAAAAACATGTGCAGCACTGTTAGATGAAGTAAAATTACTATTTCTTTTATTTAAATATGTTGATAAATTACTTATTTAAGTATGTGCATATAATTTTTTGTTGATAACTGTTTAACCTTCTAAAAAATTAAAAAAAAGTGCATGTGGTTCCTTTAAACATTTAGTAATTAATAGGTTTTCTCATATACAAAAAAGAACCACAATGTAGGGATTTGTTGATATAAATGAAACTGTAGGTTTTTAGTATCAGGATAAAGCTTTAATTAATCAAAAATGCATGTTATTCGACGTTATCATCAAATTGGATTTCGAAATCCACCGTGTCTAGTCCATCTATGTCGTCTTCTATAGTATTATCACAGTTGAGACCATGATAAAAACTCTGTGCATCTTGTGGAATGAGATGTAATATGGATTGTATATCGGCAAGTTTTGCGGGTGATACTGGTTTCCCTGACGGCCACAAGGGAACTAAATGTTCCATTAAGATTAAACCCGGTCTGCCCCGAACAGGTGCTCTACCTACATTGACTTCCACAGAATTACCAAAGAAGTCTGTTTTAAAATAAATTGAGCTTGGTGAGTCTCTTTCTATGTATATTTCTCGAGTTTGTAGCCAATTAATACATTCTTTGTTAATACCACGTTTTCTATTAATAATCATTTTTTCAACCTTAGAAGTTCCCAGAAAATCTGATTTTGCCATTAATGTAACTTTAAGAGGGTTTTTTTTCTTGCAATCTTTAATAACTTGTATATAATCATCGGGAGTGTATAGTCTCGGATACTTTTTTATTGCAGACTCAATGTGGGAAAAATCTCTGTCATTGGGTAGGTAACTATGTCCGGGAATCAAAAACTTTTGTGTTATTTTTTTCAAAGTGGGATGACAATGCAAAAATGCTTTTAACATCAAAATTAACTTTATATTACGATTTTGTCCGCCACACGAATCGCTCCATAAAATTAGTTCCTCGACATCTTCAGAAATATGCTCGCCTAAGTATTTTAAAAGACAGGAACCGACTTCCTGAGCACCTTTTCCAGCCATTCCTTCTATCCAAACAAAACACCCACTTGAGTTGGTTTTTGCCGAATAAATACCCATATTATACAGCCAAAGCTGTCGTTTATAGTAAATAATTCCAGTAGGTATCTTAGGCATTGGAAGTGTTTTTTGTAAATCAAATGTGAGACATTCTAATTCCTTACATTGAGTAGCCAGAATAAAATCAGTCTTCATTACATGCCGCGCCTGTTCCCATTTTCGGCAATGTTCTTCGCGTTCTGTATCGATGGCTGTTTTTTCCTCAGTAGTTTTGCAGTGAGTTAATTTCGCTTGTAATGTGTCACACTTGTTACAAGTGTCTTTTTTAAGAGGCGCTCGTTTAAGATTAAAATTAGTGTAGAATAACTTTGTGTACATAGCCTTACTAACCTTCTCAGCTTCTCCTACATGTTCACAGTATAAATCGTACATCTTGTCTAAAGTCAAGTCTGACATAAGATATTCGGTCTCGGACTCACTTCTTCTATAGTGTGATTTATACTTAGGAAGAGAGTTTATATGACATATTACTTGGGAAACTAATTCGTCACTGCATTTGTTCCAGCCTCCACTTTTTGATCCTCTTCTATCTAAACAATCTTGTGACCTCAATTTAGTCAAAGCAGTATTAACTCTCTTTATTGAAACACCTAGTGTTTTGACATATAAGTTCCGGCATACTTCGACTTTATCTAATAGATATTTACGAGAGAATTTTTTCTTCATATTGCTATTAGTCATCCTTCTTTTAACGTCGGCTTCTTTGACGCTTGCTGCTATGTACATATTCTGAGTATTGTAATTTTCTAGTTTGTAAAAGGTCTCAAATATTTTCTGTCGATTGTTTGAATCTATTTTTTTTCAGCACTTCGTTTTACAATTACATTTATAATCAATAAATACTTTTGGTTGGACTTCGATGTTTTTATAGTTGTGAAAAGGCTTATTAGAATGTCTATTTTTCTTTCTTTCCATCCTAGATAGACCACCATACTTTAATTTTCGACCTTTCTTTGGTCTTCCTTTTTTAGGTACTTTGTCATTAATACTCACTGTATCGTCATCAGAACATGGTATAAACACTGGTGATTTTGCAGTATTTTCGCCTTCAGAAGTAGACTCTTCTATGATAGTGCGCCTAGACTTCCCATTAGGCAACCTCATTTTCTTGCCGCCAGCAACTTTTATATCATCACCATATTCTGATGAACCTGATATATAGTCAGGACTTTTAAAAGGGGACAAATTTGCAAGTAGGTCTAATATCGGCGAGGAATATTCTTCTAAGCGATCTGGCGAAGTTAAATTATTGCTTAGAGGTGAAGAAAGCGTCTCCAGAGGCTGTGCCCTTCTAGGTTCTTCATTACCTTGTGCTGTAATCAAAGAATCTTTTATGTCTTTACAATAATAACGCGTGGTTCTAGAAATCTATGGCCACAGCAAAATTATATTGGTTCTTATGGGTAGTGTGAACGCGGCTTTATGGTAATTCATTAAGTAGTAAAACATACAGACGGACACACCCACACACACACACGCACGCACACGCACACACACACACACATCATTACAGAAATGTACATATATATATTTCATATTACATACAAACATACATCGTTACAATCATCACATCATACACCAGCATACGATACAACGCTGCAATTCATACGGTGCATTCGAGTGAGCTCGAAGATACTAAAATGCATTAAACAAAACTATTTATCTGTTATGTCTTCATTATTATCTTCGGTACTCATGTCTAAAGCTTTATTCACCAACAGCTTGCCTCTACTTAACATTTTCACACTTAATTCGAAAGAAATAAACAAAAACAACAGAACTTTCTTTGCAGAGAAAAAAAACGGTCGTCACGCATTTGAACTATTTCGTTGAATGTCACCTATTTTGACAAATAACGTTTGACGTTTTACTTGGAAACTGAGTTATTGCACTTTGAGTTATACGTTCAATAAAATAAGGTAAGTATTTCGTTGTTTAAAACGAGAAACTTGAAATCAATCATGTAATTTTTGCACTTATGAACGATTATAAATTTCAAAACAATAAGCGTAATGGAATCACATGCTAGTGGTTCTACTGTTTAACAATATTTATTTATACGTAATAGAACCGAATGCTTGTGGTTTCTTTTTGCAAAACAATATTAACAACTAAATAATAAGAATTTATTTTACGCATAAGGATACCACAGGAATTTGGTTCTATTTTGTGTAAAAAAAATAATCGTAATAATAGAATTATGTGTAATGTATAATAGTACCAAGTGTGCGTGGATCTATTTTGTATAAAACTACATGATTGTAATATCGTTTACTTTTTTAATAAATAGAGTCATGTTGTACCGTGGTTCCTTTTTGCTTTACAAGTAACGTTTGTTATTGTTGTTGGTTCCTTTCTGCTTTTAATATACCTTGTTTCCAAGGGGAATTCATGTGATTCTTTTTTGTATAAGAATTTAGACTACCTTTACGTAAGTATTCTTAAAAAAAGTAAAAAATTAAATTTTGTCGAGTGGTTCCATTTTGCATAAATACGGACACTTTCTTCTTTGCTTATACTACAAGAAAAAACAACCAAAGTAAATATCATAACAGAACAGTAATTTATAATTTATGATTACCACTATAACATAAAATATATCACCTATTAATTTCTAGTAATAATCTGCATAACATTAATCTAAGCACATGCGGCGAGAGGAACAATGAGCATTCGTTGGAATTTAATGAATTGCCCATTTCTCCCGCCACAACGACTTGCAACCCCCGAGAATAAAGTCATTTTCAGCTTTGTGATATTTAACGAAAACAAAATATTTCAGTTCTCTTTCGTTTGCTTCACACCGAATTAACATAGATTTGGATAAGCAAAACAATGTTTATTTAATATTTTTATAAATAATTGATTAATTCATATTACTGCTACAAGAATTATTTTCAACTATTGTGAAGGAAGACAATGCGGGCTTTGAGGATTCGACTGCAATAATGGACCTTTATCTGATTGTCTGTCTTCAACGATATTATCAGCTCTCATTCACCTTCTGGATAAAATGTCTTCTCTCTGATTATATGGTATAATGTCTTTACTCAGTCACAGACGCCGTCTTAATAGTAACTTCTTGGAGAATTACATGGGTTTAGAATTTCATTAGTATAAGCATTTAAAAATTATCTAGACATTTAGATTCATTTTGTTTATGATTAGTATTTTCTAAAATAATACACTCTATAAAATTCGTATTGTATTTTAAATAGGTATTATTGTAGGTTGACATTTATTTAATTTATCTGCAAAATATTTTTAAGGTCAAGTTAAGTCAATATTTAATGTTAATAAAGTCAATCAATTTTGGATTACCTCCCAGGATCTGTCAGAGCTTTATGATTGATTTCCATGTGGTTATTATACCGTATTCGTTATTCCTTAAAGCGTTTAGAAATTAATAATTTATGACTAAAGGTGTTATCATTAAATTAAAATTTTTAAGTCTGTTTAAACAGGTTTAAATTTCAGGGAAGAATTTTCTAAATCTCAGCAATAACTCTCTCAGTATAACCTAATTTACCAAGTCAAGCCAAGGGATTTAAATAGGAGGGTAACTTTTGGAAATTACTTAAGCGTTCATCCATGTGTATTATGCTCTACACGAAAGGATAAAATTGCCATGATAGGAGGTATTTCCATGAGTTATTTCCAGATACAGGCTTCGTTTCCAATTATACAAAGGTTGAGGAAATTAGTTATGCAAGAATACTAAATTATATATTACTCATTTGTTCTTATTAGTGTCTCTCAACTGGATAGATAATAATTGGACAGCTTGTTTTAGATTTTATAAAGCTTAATATTCATATGAGCCCTTTCGAAAATTGTAAATATTAAAAATATATATTTTGTCATCAAATGTATAGTTTATGCAAAGAAAAAATTATTTTCTAATCAGGCTCCAATTATTTTAATTCCTCTTTAACATATTTAATTATATTAGTCCCTCAACCCAACATAACAAACATATTTCTGGTTTGTAAACTTTCCAGACGAGCTATTGATTATTTAATCAATCACAAACATCTCCAATACAAGGACGGGAATTTAGATATTTATAGTAATTTGTAGTGAATACGATGTACATGAAGAATTAAATTAATTATGTTGGTTAAGCTATCAAAACCCACGATCTATGTTGCTGGTGAACTGCGCTCTTTAGTTTACAAATGAAACGGGTTTGTATTTCAACCTACCATAATCAAAGCGAGTATCGAGTTTTATATCGTAGTCGATATTCTAAGATTTCCATATGTGTTGTTTCTCATAAAAATATCTACCTATTAACCAATCATATACGAGCTCCAGATACAAGGATTTTAAATATGAACCAATATAAATTAAATTTATATTAAGTAAATCAATGATTTTTTTACAGCTAATTAATAACGTTTCGATGATAAATGTTTTTCATGAGCAGATTGACACTTTTTTACATTTTATTCAAGAGACCTGATATCCAAGAGTGTACATCTACTGAATTTCCTCATAACTATATTTTATTAACGAAATTTACCAAAAATATTCGAATTATTTTAAAATATTGCAAAACAAGCATATTTTTAATGCTTGCTTCATCGAAAGGTATCTTCTGAAGATATACAGACCATGTATCTTTAAAATAAAACTTATATATTCATGTGCAACGTTCGAAGAATACGTTCTGTTTAGTAGACTAAAATTAAAATCTAGCATTATGCGAACTCAAAGCGTTACATATAGAATAGTATCGGCAGCCTTATTGTGCTATCTGGCTTTAAACCAATGAACACTCAAGGAAATATAGAAGTTGAATTCCTGCAAAACTGTGTATGTTTATAAAAAGTTATTATAGAAAATATGTTTCTGTTTCTTCTACTTCATACTTTATTTTTTAACGTCCATAGTAGGCTAGTCCATAGTCCATAGTGTCCATAGTGCATAACTTATATGATAATGTATAACAGATGTACAAATGTATAGACGGTTCATGACACGTAAGTGCCACCATCGATGTAATTGAAGGGCAATTAGTGAAATGAATGACTGAATGGGCTTTCCAGAGCAGTGCTTATAGTTAAGAGGGAATTTTCATTATGATATTAAGACAACATTATCACGACGGCGAATTGTAAATATCGTCGAAAATTTAACTGAAAAACAATTAGTAATTATTTTGTTTGTTAGAAACATAATCATATATAATAGTTATTTCGAAATAATATTCGAATTTAAATATTAATGATGTTCTAATAGTAATATTAATAATATGTATAAAAAACCTTGAAGCTCGTACGACGTACAATTAAATAATAAAATATATTTACAAGTACTACAACAAAGTTTACTTGTTTAATAATCAAAATTAAAGTTTATACTTTTGGTTAGTAATGTATTAATGAAATGTATTGATACATATATTCTATTTTAATGTTAAACGTGTTCATCAAAGTTAATGCCATTTTGTTTTGGAAATAAGTTGGCTAGAGACTTTTATCATTTTAATGGATAAAATTGAGTTCGTGTTTTAATAAATTACGTATAAATTTCAAACTCACACTCAATTAGCTGTGTAAAATTTACAAAACTGATTTAATAAAAAAAATAATTTATAATCAAATATATGTGGAGTAATATTTGGTTAACATAAGAAACACGTAATATATATAATTTACTCTCTCTTGTTGTCTGGAAGAGACCGATTCTTAGCGATAAGGCCAAGATTGTTCATTTTTATTTAGTATAATTGTAATAGATGTTAATTTAAGGGTTTAAAATAAAGAATATTCCCATTATTAACAATAAATCCATTGTAGCTCTGTATATTATCTATGAAATTAACCACATTGACGACATAAATATGTCGACCGTTGATAAAGAAAATGAATTAACGAAAAATGAAAATGTTCGTGAAATCAAACAGATTACGCTCAAGTTGAAGCTCAGTGCGTCGTGTTCACTACAGGAAATGAAGCGGTCGCGGGATTGAAGGAAATGAATTGCAATGTGGGTTGTAATGCCTTCGTATTAAACATTTACTATTAACAAATCTTACCCATATTATAAACGGTAAAGTTTGTATGTCTCCTTGTCTAACGATGTTAAAAAAACGAAATCTTATAATCAAATAGCTTTAACTTGAAACTATGTTTTCCTATTTTTTCGACTAAAAGTAGTAAAATGATCGAGTACGAGTATGAAGAACTTCAGATTGCATTTTAAGCTTATTTCACAAAACCATATAAGTACTTTCACCGCATATGTTTTTTGTAAAAAAAGATTTAAAAAAATATATATTATTAATTTAAATTTAAACAAATAAACAAATAATACTA